TCACCAAGTTTCTACAAAGACAGTCTGGTTTACATGTAGATGTGAATTAATATGCCAGTATAACTTACTGATAATTTTACCTTTTAAAAGAATGTTATGGTTTTGAACATGCCATGTCTTGGTCATTCAATCTCTTTCAGGCCTGATCCTCAGTCTGTGTGTATAATGGCTGATTGGAGGACATTTTATTGTGCAAATATCTCAGATTTGATCTAATAAGTATTTTGTTAAACTCGGTCCAATATGCTTGAATGACAGCTTTTACTGCATATCATATTTTGAATACTAGTATATCTGGAAATATTTTATTGTCAACTGAGGGACATTTGGTTATCATACTATGAACAAACAAAATGTTAGTGATGATATTGATGAAATCATGTCTACTGTATTCCTTGTAAACAAATGTCTGTTTATATACTGAGTTTCAAATGTCCATAAAGTAAATTAGCCATGGTTTTACCATGCTTTCTTATTAAGCAAATAATGTGTGAATATCCCATATACTTCCACAGCAATGTATAAGTGTCACCTCAGTTCTCTGTCAGGAATTGAAACTTATATGAAGACTGTACTTTGTGTGTGCCAGTTTGCAATATGGATGTTTATCATATACCTTGTATTGTCTGGCCTCGTAACTCTATTAATGATAGTATTGTCATCCAGGTAGCACAGTACATGTATATCAACAAGTGCTTTGAAATTAGACAACAAATTTTGGATTAATATACATCTTTCTTCTAGAAGGAGTTATTATTTTTTTTACCATTAATATTCTGTTTTTGTAGATTAGTTTATTTTTTACTCCCATGTGCGAAGCACACAATGGGAGTCTTTGCAGTTTGTCTGTGTATGTGTGTATGTGTGTCCGTCTGTTCCAGACCATATATCAGTTTTTGATGAAACTTGGTACATAGATGCTCTGGGCCAATGCGCAAATTTGATGAGGTTTTGGTAAAATTAGCTAATTTTTGGCTGTTCCATGACTGTTTCACTGATATCTAAACAACCACTCATTGGATTTTGATGAAACTTAGTACATATATGCTCTGAACTTATGCGCAGATTTGATTAGTTTTTGGTAAAAGTCTGTGCATATTAATTACCTAATTTGCATAATTAATAAATTTTCAGCTTTTGATATTTCAAGTAGTAAGCATTACATTTCAATAAAACTTGGTACATAGATACCCAAGGACTATGCAGAGACCTGATTAGTTTCAGGGTAAATAAATGTGCATATTAAATAACTAATTTGCATAATTAATCAATTTTCAACGTTCACACTGGTATCTCAAGTACTAATCATCACATTTCAATGAAACTTTGTACATGGATGCTATAGGACAATAGACAGACCTGATTAATTGTGGGTTAAAATCTGTACATATTAATTACCTAATTTGCATAATTAATCAATTCTAAGCTATCACACTGATATCTAAAGTACTAATTATTCCATTTCAATGAAACTTAGTACAAAGATGCTCTAGGACAATGTACAAACCTGATTAGTTTGGGATTAAAATCTGTTCATATTAATTCCTAATTAGCATAATTTCAATAAAACTTGGTACATAGATGGTCTGTTACTTTGCACAGACCTCATTAGTTTTACACTCAAATCTGTTCATATTAATTTTCTGATTTGCATAATTGGTTTTCAGTTTTCAATATCTCAAGTACAAGTAATTTCGAATTATATTTAATGTGTCTCCAATACTCTCAGCACATGGGAGTTCTTTCTAAGCTTTCTTTGATTTATTACTTCCTTATTAGTGTATTAATACTGTATTCTTTTACTATTATCTGTAACCATTGCCACTCTCTCCGGGGAGTGAGTAAGTGTTAATGAATAAATAAATAAAAAATATTAGAAAGCTGAAAAGTGAGACACGCAATCATATTTTATATCACGCCTGCTGACTATTTGGGGAAACTATTACCTTTTAATAGTTTTAAAGCCACATGCACTTCAAACTTGTTCCAGACATTAACAGATACAGCGTGTTGCAGATGATGAAATTTGTTGCTAATATGCCTAGATCTTCACAGTACAGAATTTTACCGTTATGGTATCGGGCTTGTCTTTATAAAAACATTAATTGTCGGATACTGAAAAATATTTAGAGCTGAAATCTAACCACATTCAAGGGATTGTGTTTTGGTTCAGTTCAGGTTTGAAAAAGTTAGTGACCTGACTTTGTTGTGATATCAAGCAAACTGATATCAATCTGCTCAGTGGACATTTGAATGAATGACCTAAATAAGACTATTAGATGAAATGATTTGAAACACCATTACGTAGAAAGAATTGCAAATATCTTTAGTGGAAGCTATAGGGTGTATTGTAAAAACCTTATGTAGCAAAAGCCATATCCAGTCCATAAATATTATTCTCAGGACTGGACATCCAGGCATTTTCACCGCCTGTCAACTATTGCGGTAAAAACAAAGGCTGAAAACTTTCAGAAAACGATACTTTGGGATGGTTGTTGAGACTCCCCTGAACAGTGTAGCAAGATCACCCCTGCATGTCAAACATAAATTTGATTGTCCAGGATTACTTCAAAGTTGATTTTTTGCTGTTTTCTCAAATTTAGCTATTTTCAACGATTCTTCGACAGGC